CTGGGTCCAAGTTACGGAGGCATAAAATTGGTGTACCTACTTTTAGGCATAGTTCATAAGGGGGAAGACCATTTGGCGTTATTGAATTAAGAAATTCTTGCTGGTAAAGTCCACGTGTATCGTCAGGAACAGAATCATAACTTTTGTATGTTATAATATCACCAGGTGTTTGGTCTAAGATCATATCATTAATATGGTCAATATATTCATTCTTTGTTGCAAGAATAGCACGCTCAGTAAAATAAGAAATATCTAGGTGATGTTCAGTTAAATTTGGATAAATATATTCGATAAGAGCTTGTAAAGACTTTTCATTTTTCCAAGGTATGACCATATGATTAGGAATACGAATCATTTCATCATTATAAGTTGGTTCTGTTCCATTTCTGATACTTAATAAAAAATTGCTAAAATCATAATTATGAATATTTTGGGTTCTCATATTTACGTGCAGTTGATGAATTTCCATTCTATGCCATAAAGGAGAAAATTTCAAAGAAGCATTTACTATTTGCTCACGACTACCTTTCGGAACAACGGGTAATATTTGGCGGAAGTCTCCACCAAATACTATTAATTTTCCACCAAATGGAAGTTGACATTCCATTAAATCTTTAAGAGTTCGATCCAAAGCTTCTACTGCATAATGATGTACCATTGGGATTTCATCCCATATAATTAACTTAGCCATACGTAGCAATGAAGCTAATTGGCTTTGTTTGCTTATAGTACATGTTGAATTTGCATCAGGATTTAAAGGTATATTGAACCGTGAATGGGCAGTTCCCCCTCCAGGCATAATTAATGCGGCAATACCAGATGAAGCTGTAGCAAGGGCGATATAAGATAGTGACCAAATTTTACTAAGTAAACATAGATACAGAAAGTTTTTCCAGATCCAGCTGGACCATCAACAAAAAAAACTCCTGCTTGATTTTTTTCAACACGTTCTAACACTTTATCAAATATTATTTTCTGACTTTCATTCAATAATGCAATTTTTTCCAAATCACTTTTATCTATTACGTAATTTAGTTCTTCTAATATTAACCTTGGTAATTCTTCTGGTTCTGTTCTTTAGATAGATCAAGTGTTGAAAGATCAAATTCATTTAATTTTCTGTGATGTTGTTCTAGAATACTTTTAATATGAAGAAGAACTGCGTTGATTAGACATTGACTACTGGAAATTCTGTTTCTTACAAAATCTTCAGACATACTGATAAAATTATCATTCCATAAAGTTCGTACATCTCCTGGTTCCCCAAATACTAATATTATTGCAAATAATCGTCGTAAAGAATAAGGCATTTGAAATTGAGCAGCTTCTTGCATAGCACTGTTATATGGATTTTTAATTTCTATAATTCCACGTTTTAATGCACTTTTCTGAAAAGTTGCATATAAATAACCTTCAACCCTTCTTAAATCTGTGAATGAAGTAGCACCTTTAACATGATTGAGAAGCAAATGTAAATAATACTTTTCTCCTTCATTTGGATTCACAGCATACATTCTCCCAATTACATTTCCTTGTTTACGTTTTGTCCATTTTTTATTAGTTTTATTCCAAACATAGTAATGCGGAAATTCACAATAGTGATAATTTCTAGCATCAGGATCAATTTCATTCATTTTAAAGTATTCTGTCAACATTGTTTTTTTATATTTATCATCATTAATTACATTTTCAAGTCTATCTTCTTGTGAATAAATTACAGTATGTTGATAAGGAAGATGCATTTGTAAGCGTACTACTGATGGATTTATTCGCGATATATCAAAACTAAAAATTCTCCAGCAGGCTTCTGAAGCAGAAATCCACTGAGCATCTAAATATTGACTAATTTCATCGTTGGTTATTTGAATAGCAGCCCGGTCATGTCCCTTGTATACATATTTGTACAAATATTTGACTGACTTTATGCTTGAGCAAATTTCAACGTTGACATGACAGTCATATTTAAATGACAAATAAGGGTTATAGGGGACAACCCAACGGTTATCAAGCCATGTACCTCTGCATAGCACTTTACGCCCATTATTGCGACGATGATACATAGGATAAGAATTATTGCCTTCTCTTGTTGTTTGAATATATTCTTTAGGATAATGTTTTGTACATGACCCATTTTTCATACAGGGTGCTTTTGAATTCGACTTTCCGCATGGACCATGCATCATGTTTGAAATTACTGTTGGTATAATCTTGGTTCTTTATCTGGATCCGGTATTTCTGCAGAAACAATTGCATCATAATAATCAGCCCCATAAAATTTGTCATCAGGATGGATAATTACTAACAGATGTGCATGTAGAAGTCCACGTTTCTGAAACTCTACTACATGCATATGTGCTATTACGTGACCAAACAAAATTCGATCAAAAATATCTCCTGTTATATCTTTTAATTTGGCACAGAAAATTCGAGCTAAAAATTAAAAAATATAATTAATTTTACAATTTCAAGTTTACATAAAATAAAAAATCAACAAAATAAATAATGAATTGGCTTGTTATTAGAAGTTTATACAATTACAGTCAAACTCTTCTATAGTCATACTATTAGAATACAATATATAGTGATTGTAAAAAGGTGTGATTAATATAGAGATATTTTCCATTAGTTATAAATAATTGGTAAAAATATACTTGTAATTATATTAATTTTGTAATTATAGAGGAGATGACTACAAAAGGATTTGACTGTAGTTTATAAAGACATATATATATATAATAAGTAATATATATAATAAGTAATAACAATATATAAAAGCCAATTTTAAGTTTCATAACTAAGTGCTATTTATTCAAAATAACACTATTTTACTAATTATTAATAAATATCTAATAATATATACCTGTAAGATCAGGTCTATCTTGCGGAGTTTGCACAGGCAAAAGTTCAGAAATAATCTCGGGCCACTTGGGATTGCAAGTAACTGTGATGAATAAATCGGGTTTACCAAATGTTTGAACTAATGCCATTGAATCTTGATATCGTTGATATAGATCACGAGGGCTTCTCATAAAAGATGAAGGTAAAATTGTCCGAGTACCGACTTTTGATGCATCTGTTATTCCTGAGTGGTAGGAATCATGTAAACCCTGGTAAAGTTCTCTATGGAGTTTTTCTTGATTTAACCGTAAATAATTGAGTCGTTCAGACTCAATTTTAACATAGTTATCAACAATATACTGTTGAAAAAGCCTTCCCCCAAGGTGAAGCAATGACAAAGAACCTTGACGCATATGTAATTTGTATGCATAGTACTGTCTTGTAGTTACTTTTTTTTGTGACATATTTTGTAGAATTCCAGGATGCCAACCATGTTCACCACATGGAAAAAAAAGAGGATATTGCATTGGGTCATAAGAACCATTTAGTTCAGAGACATGTTGTAAACTATTAGATTTTGATTTTATAATAATATCCCGTTTCATACGATCTAAGGGTTCATGACCTTCTACCCAAATACCTGCAACTTGTGAAGCTGTTGGAGTATTATATATTCGTTGATCTAAGCTATGGTCAGCTCTAATAATAAGTTGAAGGTTGTTTATAGCATTATCAGAGGCAATTGAGCAAAATTAGCAATGAATGGATTAAATTGGTTTAATATTGATTTGATAATATCTAGAGTATCACGTCGAAGCTTAGGCATTATAGTAAGCCTGTTTTCTGTTTCATGTTCAGTATCATAAATATATAACTGAAGAAATTTCGGTGTTTCATTATCTGGAAGAAGAGACCCTATAGAGTGATATATTCCACCTTGAACCCGAAATGTATATACTCCATCTTTGCCTGTCAAAAATTAGCGAGAATTATAAATTATTATTATAGACTATATTATTATAGGTAATTATATAATTTATTATTAAACAATTTTACCATTAGCAAGAGTATCGTCTATCTTGACCCCTATAGATGTGAAAGCAAAAACACTATTATAAGCACGGATATTAACACGGAACTCATTTCCCATTTCATCAAGTCTCATAAATAAATCTCTTAATTGTGCAACTTGTTCAGTTGAAGCCAATCTATTGTAAATATATTAGTACATGAAGGATTATTATTGTTATTGTTAATGATTATTAATAAGTTATTTTTATCTTACCTAACTTTTCCGCTAATACAGCAAATTCCTTCAGTTTCACCAGAGAAAAGCTTGGCATTACAATAAGAACAAATGGAAGGAGATTTTAAAGTGTGACGAATAGTTGAAGCTGTTTCTTGAAAATGTAGACCAAATTTATGCAATCTTCGTGGTTTGTTTAAAGAAGTTTGTATATTTGTTCAGGTGTTCTTATTATTATTGGTATTATTGGTAATTACAACGGGTCGTGAAAGTATACGACGAAAAGGTGGCATTTCAAATAAGCATAGACGATGAAAATAGCAGTATTTGCTCCTAAAATTATTATTATAATATAAAGTATTCGAATGAATAAATATACACCACTACGCCGGTTTTGTTAACTTTAAAAATATGTTATAATTTAAAACTATTTAGTAAATTGATATATGTATATTCAAGTTAATCGATTTTACTGTTTTTTAGTTAGAACGAAGGCGAAGTTTTTTTTTTTCCCGCGCTTCTAATTTTTTCTATATTTGACTTTTAATTAATTTCATCATAGATAATTCATATGATATTTGACTTTTTTTAAATTATATTTCATGTGTTGTTTTGATATTATGATAATATACTGTTCATTTGATCTTTGGTAATTGATAAATTACGATTCGATCGTTGAAACCACGTAATCCAGAACCTAAGACTAATGCGAAATTCGATTATTATAATTTATCTATTGTTTATTCATTTTTCGACTCTAAAGTTTTCTAACCCTTCACCTCTTCATTTCAAGTACTCTCTTATCACCATAATACTTATGTCGTATTAATGAATCAATTTTTGTTGAAATGATTTTACCGTGCATTTATTAGGTACAATTAAACCAAATATAGTAATTAATTATACATCATTATGTATTCATTCATACGTACATTTATTTACAGCCACAGACATATATTGATACATAATAAGTAAAATAACAAATAATTATGTAAGCATACATTCAATATTCTACCATCATTTCATTATTACATATTTAGCATTCGTCGAATAATCATAATTTTTATTAAATCTATATTAAATTCAATCCACATTAACGGGTTCTTGAGAAAAATGAATGCATCTATATAATCGCTATTTCTGATATATCAAAAATTCTAGAAATTCTAACGACTGATACTAATTAGCTTGAATCGGTAAGCATGGGAACAATAAATAAAATAACATCATTTTTAGAAGATCATTTGACAAAAATAGCTCACCTGAAAATGATCAATATCATTATCGTTATTTTAGAAAAACAATCAATGAATGAACAAAAATAGTCAATACGCATGGACCACGAATAAAACACCAACAACCAATCAAATCAGCTAAAATGTAGAAACTCTGAATTAGATTATATAGATATTATGAATACAATTTATGCGATATGTAAGTTAACCGAACTTCCAAAAAAAGCAAAGATCAAATATAAAATTTTATCATATGATCACAACATCCAATCAGTATTAAGATTTTGTGTACGAACGCAAAACTCAAATTGAACCATCCACTTCGTTCCACTATGTTCCTGGTATTGTAAATTATGTAACACAACCCTAGTCATTTGTCTAACAAAAAGTGGAATTATTCATATTCGTTTGGAAAACTAGTAGAATTCTGAAAATTCTGCATTAAACATAACTATCACTATTATAAACAAAAATAATGATACTTGATTCAAAATAATAATAATAACTAGCAATGTTATATTTGCGGGCGCCTTCGTCGCCCACTTTCAGTTTTGAATCACATTGTTTAAAGTGTGACATATATTCAATCAAATATAGTTGTGTACTAGAAATAATAAAAGTATATGTTGTGATTGGCATTAGTTAATAATTTTTTTGGTCAAGTCAGCAAGTTGAGGTGGAATACAAATACTATTTTATAGAATACAAGTATGATTAATGGGTAGTAATAATTCACGATTTATTTTTATAACTGTTAATTAGTATTAGAACATGACCATGCGGGCAGCTTCGCCACCCATAATATACCAAGATAATAGATTTGTTTGTTTTATTCTTACTTTTATTTCAGAAAAAATTTTTCTTAAGTTCTGTTTGAATTTAATACACCAATTTGGGCCCCTTCAGGGCCAAAGCTGGTGTATTAATATATCTTGAATTAAATGCACCAAATTGGGTCTCTCTTGGGCCAAAGCTGATACATTGGATTTAATGAATTTCTTTCTCATCATTAAATATTTTGTCTCAAATATGATGCACCAATTTGGATCCTTTTAGGGCTAAAGTTGATATATTAGATTCAAATCTGATGCATTAAATTTTTTAAGGAAAATTTACAAATAAGGGCCCAGAAAGTAAAAATAATTACAAATACAGGCCTAAATTAAAAATATTTACTTTTACAGCTGTTATCATTATTCCTAAGACACCTTATTAAAAACTATCCAAATAATTATTTAGCTGATTCAATAAGTTATTGATTTCGGCATGATCAGTGCAATATTATTATTTACAGAGATAGTCTAAAGCAGGATCCCTAATTTTTTCTCCCTGATCTGATTAGACATTTGCAAATGCTATTTCTGATTAGACAAAGTAGACTATGCCACACTTCGTCTACCAATCAAATTTAAAATCAGGTGTAATATAAAATTTTAAAAAAAAACAGGTTTTCAAAAATCAGCAGTAACTTAAAATTTTATTACAAAACCGGCTTTTATATTTTAACAAAAAAATTCCTTGCAAAATTTTATACTGTTTCAGCAATACTTCTATTATTTGATCAAAAGGCAGGATTTTCTTTGTCCAATAGCCAATAGAAAGTGGATGAGAGATTAGTAAACCCATCTAAAGCCAGGTATATGCATATGTGCATATGTATATACGTGGGTTTTAAATTGCTTACTAATCAATCTGTAAATTGAAACTCATATGAAACATATAGCTTTAACAATCTTTATTTACAATGTAATAGTAACAATTATTAATTGATAATGTCTAAATAGCCTATATTAATATAACAAAAAAAATTTTAGATTATAAGTTTAAATAATTGTTAAACACTTAGGTGTTAAAAGATCATCAATAAGTCGAGTTCTTAACCATTTTTAAAGATATAGTTATGTTGAAAGACTTCTGCCACTTGTAAGAAAATCAGTATTCTAAACCTAAATGATATATATAAAATATCTTAAGACTTTAACATTCTGGTAGATTGGCAGAATTGGACCTTTATTTAAATACTCAATTTAAGCTCTAAATTTACGTATTGCGTTTTGCAAAATTCTGTGACTCATTCTTAATTACTAATATTTATAAAAATGATCATGATTGCAATTATGATTGCGAATTTTGCAAAGCACAATAAGTAAATTTAGGGTTCAAATTTAGAGTATCTAAATAAAGATTCAATTCTGCTAATCTGCTAGAATGATTTCTTTAAATTGTATTATACTAGTATAATAGATGGTGCTTTGTGCTACCCATTTTATTCAATATTTGAAAATAAATTTAGTAAATCCTAAATAGAATATTCAAGTAAATTTATTAATAGCTTTTATACTCATATTGTTATTGCTCTATATTGTATAACTAGGCTCAAAATAAAGACCAGCAGAAGAGAGCAATAACTAGCAGTTCGATTTAAAGAACTAAAGCAGAGAATAATATTTAAAAGGTAAAGTTGTAATAGAATAATAAAAAGCAGATAAAGTGGAGTATATTCTTATTAGATACAAAAGAGTCCAAACTTAGTTCAAGTGATACAGCGAACACTATTAGACTCTAGGAATTCAAACCTTATAGCTTTAAAGATATCAAGAAATGACAAGAAAGATAACAAGAAAGAAATCAAAAACTCAAGAAAAATGCAAATTTCTAAGAAGACAATAATATTTTATTATTAGCAATCAAATTATGAGAACTTATATAAAGTTAAGTTAAAGAAGGGAGAAAGTGAGGCTATTTATAATGTTTTGGGACTATGTGAATGTTAATTTAACATCTATCTATCATGTGACATATATAAGGTTACATGATACATCACATGTTATATTTAATTTAAATTTCATTACACTAATTAGTAAATTCTAGAATGTTTATCAAAATTGTTAATTACTAAAATTTTACTATGATAATTAATCTAGCTTATTAAGATAAAAATGTTCTATGACCCAAAATTTAGAGGGTTAGCTAATGTGCAGTAATATGTTTTTGTATTAATTTTAGAGATATTGGCTTCTGAGTATGAACGTTTTCTATACTCACTCATTAATTGCTAATACATATGATATAAATGATAACAAATAGTAATACTAATGATAATAATATATGATGATAATATAATAAAATATTGATAAGAATATAATAATAATATGATAAATATAAGAAAAAGAAAAGAAAAAAGAAAAATATTAAAATTTGATGAAATTTTGGAGTACTACACTATTAAACTAAAATCAAATAAGCATTGGTGATGGCAAATATTAATAATAAGTTATGAAATCACAATTTTAATAATCTTTGGAAATATACCATTTGTATATTTCGATTAAGTGAACATATGATAAATTTAAAATTTTTAAAAATACAGAATTAATAAATAATAAATAAAGTACTGTATTATATAATAAGAAATAATCAAGTGTTTAAAATTAAGGGATGAAGAAACATTAGTGAATACATAATACTTGAAATTGTTACTAAAGGAATTAACTATGCTAAATAATTCATTAAAATCATAATCCTACCTATTAATGATATTAAAAATCTATCCAAATCATTAAACCTGCTGTCGAAGATTGTAAGAAAAATTGTTTTTCTACTCTAGTTTAAAAAAAATAAATACAGAATATATTAGAGTTTAAAGTAATTTTAACTCATTATACAAAACATATAAAAACAAAAAAAGAAAATTTATTCTGCTTAAAATAAGGATATAACTCTGGTTGGATATAACTCAGTAGAATATAACTAGGTATGATTTAAATATTCACAATCAGATAACATTCGAGTGGCAAAATTTGGTTGATATGTTATAGCAAATAATCTGGCTAAATTATAAATTTATTTACCCAGACATTGAGTTAGATCTAGCCAATTATCATTTGGGCTGTCCCAATTATAATCAGGTTATAATAATGTCATAATTGCATATAAATATCGATAACCCAATTTATCAAATTATCTGAATATTGTAATTTGTAATAACCAATCAAAAACATGATTGTATTTCATAAACTGAGATAGTAAATTATTTAATAAAACCATTATTGCATGTTCCCAAATGCAATAACTATATATTATCAAATTATCTGAATAACATATCTTGTAACAACCAATCAAAATACAAACTTCTCGCTTAAATTATACAGTCAGACCTCTCTAAGTATACAACTTCGGGATCATAATAAACAATTTCAAAATATGCATTTAGAGAGGGTATTTTATTATACTATCTTGGATTAGCAACCCTTGAATATATACCAGGTATGTGATGTAGATTTACTAAATATGAATTAGATTTTAAGATCATGTTCAACATAACATGATCAAGAAAATTCAAAACAAATGTTCTTCTTGTTCTCTAACAAAAAGTTTTTGGTGGCCAATTTTACTATACAAATGATCCTTCTCTAGCCCATAATACTAACTCTAACTCTAACATGAACAAATTTTAAAGAATTTGTGTTGCGCTATTTGCGATGTTATCTAAATTATTAGGAATATTTCAAACTATGTGATGAATAATATCGTATCAAAGTATTTACTTTCTTATTGTTATTTCTAAAATCGTATATTGCTATTTATTATATAGTTTGGAATGTCACAAATAGTTTGGTTAATATTATTATATGCTATAAACCTGGCACACATTCAAGTAATGCCTTGGATTAGATATTATTTCATCATACTATCTTAAACTTACGATATATAATATAATCTAATATATAGTCTGTTATTGCAGTCTCGGATATTACCAAATTTAGTAATTGATCGACAATGTATTAAGGAACTTTCTAGAATAAATTTCCATATAAAAAAGACTTGCACAGACATTAAATGTAAAAAAAAAAACTTTTTATAAATACACAAAAAAAAAAATACCTAGATACATTATTTTCGATATGTAGTTTCAGGATCCTCCCTGATTCCTGGTGATTAATAAGGCAGTTATTTTGTATTTAGACAAAGAAATGAGTGTATTTCTACTAGTTATAATTTTTATATGCTAGAGATCTGTGTAGAATGCCAATGCAAAAAATTTTTTTTTCTGATTTAAATATCGCCATGAAAGCTATTTTTAGTACGTAGGTTCAAGATCTAGCTGATTTATGCGATTTACAAGACAGTAATACTCTACTAGACGAGGAAATAAGGTGGTTTCATAAGGTTATTCTGCATAGTTAAAGAAATAGCTAACAAAGGTAGACTATGTTATTACTGTATTATTGCTATCATTATGCATTTTATTTTGTTGTATAATTTGTTAAATTAATATTCTTCTTTTTTAGATTTAAGAAAGAAAAACGTTTGAGTAATATTTGAATGGTGATTTAAGTAGAGACGTAGGCACGTTCAAAGATTGTAGTATTTAGATACTGCTGAAGGTTATGTAGCTAAGAGTAACTAAATTTTGTTAAATGTGGTGATTCTAGAAAAAGTTAAGAATACGAATAGCATTTTAGATCTGCTAAGTGCAATTCCTTTTGAAGAAATAATTTTGGTCTCTGCTACGATAAAGGTATATATACAAAAAGAAAAGCACATAACCTGGTATATAAAAATCTATTGAACCTGGTGATTTCAGTAAAATAATCGAGAACAAAAAAAAAAATGAATGGCATTTCGGATCTGCTAAGAGAGTAATTTTAGAAAAATAATTATCAACTCTATATGACAATAACTATGTACAACTAAGGATGGAAAAAAGTCACTTAGGTAAGTATTCAAAATTACTGAAGTGTTAATTTTAAAGAACTTAATTAATTGTATTGTAAGTATAAGGTCACCAAATATGAGGTTTGGTTCAAATTGAGGTGGACAGTTTTTGATTAGTAATCAAAAGCAGCCAATCGCATTTATCGCTTTAAGTTAAACCAAGCCCCACTTGGTCTCTCACATTTATTAATCCAAGTATTTATAATAAGTTACTCAGGTTCATAAATACTTACCATCCATAATTTTATTTTATTGTGAGTAAAATATGTTGAACGTGGTAATTTCAGTAAAATGACTGAAAACAAAAAAAAGATGAATAGTATTTCAAATCAGCCAAGGCAGTAATCAACTCTATATGCCAGTGCTTGTTCACAACTGAGGATGAAAAAAAGCACTCAAGTGATATTTAAAATCTGCTGCAAGTGTTAATCCTAAAGAAAAAACTAAGGGTGCATGAATAGTCATCTGGAAAAATTTGATATATAACAATTATATTCGGGTTAGTCGATTATTATTATTGAAAAATAATCAATTATAATCAGTCTACAAAATTTCCTGGTGGTGTTGTAAGTATAAGGTCATTTATTAATCCAAGTATTTATAATAAGTTATTCAATTTCACGAACACTTATATTTATAATCTTTCAGTGGTAATAAGAAAAGAAAAAAAAATTCTCCACTCGCTTAATAGATGAAGTACCACGAATTAATTTAATAAAACAACAAACAAACTTATAGCAATTTGTGTTTTAAATATATTACAAAAGTATGACAAACAAACTACAAAATAAATCGTCACAGCTGATGCAGAAATCAGCTGATGCTGTCGTGATTTGGAAATATAACCTCTGCTAAAATCCACATATACTCTTGAATTATCAATTCTAACCCTAAGCACTAACTTAACCATAAAAAAAAAAGCGGGAAAAAATAAAATTTTTTTAAAATTCATATCAAAATAGGTCCAAATTTCAGCATCAGCTGATTTTAGCATCAGCCATGATAATAATTTTTAAAATGAAGGCATGATTAGTAAAAGTTCCCGATCTTACATCTCAGATTTAGGATGTCTAAAAATACAGATAAAAATGATTTAAGTGATATTTATGGAGTCTTTCCTTATGTTGTATCAGAGATTCTATTGAATTTCATCAGCTGTTGTATTTATGGCTTCAAAGCATTTTGTCAGAAATGGCAACTAGACAAAGACCTTCCGATGGTTGTCAATTTGATCTTAGTCCTTCGTTCGATATATGCAGAGAATTATGACCTGAATTTACTCCTGGAACTTCTAAATGCTATTGATTATCTAAGCCATGGTGGATTTGAATTCACAAAAGCGGCCTAATGTTTATGAAGTTGGAAGAAACTTTTGTGAGTTGTATAAAAATTTGGTGGTACTATGATTTTCAAGCTGATTGATTTTCAAATTAGGCTGGGGTTGTAATTTTATTCTGATTTGGCTTAAAGATTATTGAATTATCAAGTTTTTACATTATTACTATTATATTTTATTTATTTATAAATTTAAATATATTAGTATTAAAAAGATTAATACTAAAGTACTATTGGCCTCTGTTTACAGTATCTTCGAAATACTGTATAGTGCTGCATGTAGTACCTCCTTGGAATAGTATCCCTCTTTTTTTTACAAGCGATTTGTGGTCCAGTTTTTATATTAATAGTGCGATCTTTTCATTTGGTTTGATATGTTTAATAACAAAGTAGATTGTGGTTAGTAACAATTATTTGTGTTATTCTTCCATCTCTCAATATTTGGGGAGTATTATTCAATCTAGACTGGCTTTTTTGTAAAACACCCAGGGTACTGTATGCAGTGCTGTATGGTAGTATCCACTACATAAAGTATTCCTGGATTTATAAATTGTACTTGGTATTATTTTAATTTTAAAAATGAAAGTTCACAAATAAGACTGTATACTGTAAGCAGTGGTCTATATAAATTTTATATTTTGTAATTTAATATATTATAATATAATAAATTAAAATAGATATAATAATTATAAGTTAAAAAGTTTTGTTTTAATTATTTTATTGATAATTATTTTATTAACTTAATAAACAATTCATTGATAATTTTATTTTATTAACAATACAATTTACTGATAGTTATTTTATTAAAATAATTTTGGTTATTATTATTAGAGTAGATTTAAATTAGAGTCAAGATTAGTTTAATTAAAATCTTATTAGTAAAATAGTTTAATTTATAAAAAAACTTGTTAGTAAAATATATTGTTGGTAAATTATATTAATAAAATAAACTTGTTAATAAAATAAATTGAATTTAAAAATTTTATTATATAGTATAATTATATAAAAAATACAAAATAATTTATTTTAAATTATAATATTTATAATTTTAATTTATTATATATATGTATTATAAAATTTAAAATAAATATTAATTTATATATTTATATTTATATTTTATATTTCTTCATTAAAATTAATATTATTTTCAGCTAAAATATTTCTAATTTCTTGAAGAGTTATTATCAAATTATTATGAGATAAATTAGATAAATTTTTAAATCATAAATGGTCTAAATCATTTAAATATGGAAGCAATGAATTAATTATTGATAAAATTTCTTTTTTTGATAAAGAATTTTTAAACTTTTGAAAATTTGCTTCTTCACTTGTAATTGTTAATGGATGCCAAGTTCTAGTAAAATTTTTTTCAATTAATATTTTTTGAATAAATTCAATTCTTTTTGTATGTGCAAGTTCACTAAAGTTTTTCATTTCTTCACTTAACTCCCATTCAGACTAATATTTTGAAAATTATTATTATTAGGATTTACAAAATTTGCTTTTCTTATTTGTACTCTAAATCCACAAGATTCAATTACAAAATCTGGCCTTGTATGTTTTTTGTGAAAATCATTTTCATGATAATTTATCAAATTAAAAAAATTATTACGTAATTTTATAAATTTCATACAATTACGTGCTGCAATCTCCCAATGATGTTGTGAAGGAATAGGAGGAATTAAATATTTTAAAGCCTTATTTATTTTTTCAAGTATTGCATCAAGACCTTGATATTGATCTAAAAATCCTGATCGTGTAATTACTATATTTTTTTTGAATTAAATTATAAATTTCAGGCTTTAATTTTAATATTTGTTCTTCATAAGTTGCTTTAATTAATTGATAAATTAGATGTCGTCGAGCTGACCAAATAGGAGAAAACATTCTTCTAGTTGCAATTCTTAATAATGATCTATTTGTACGAACTCCAGTATGAAAATTAATAATTGATTGTAAATAATAAAATATTTGTTCATATTTTAATTTAAATAAAGGACTAGTTTGATTTTGTGCCCATGTTAAATATCCTTGAACAGAAGGATTATTTTCTTTAATAATATATGGCTATATTAATTCTGAACTCATTGCATGTCTATAAATATTACATATTGAATCCCATGATTTATGATGATCAGAGCATTTTTTAAAATATTGAAGTTGTTTTTCAGATTGATATCCTTGACATTGAGCAAAATTTTTAATATCAATATCCCAATTTAATTCAACAAATGCTTTTAACATATTCATTTCTTCATGAAGAGGTCCAGGTAATAAAATAAGCCATGGATAATCTTTTTTTATTTTTTGAATTCGTTGATATGATATTCTATCACATATAACTACAATCTATTTACGTTTATTGTCTTTAATTTCAGATATTTCTTCAATATGATCAAGAATTTTTTTAAGATTTGCAACTGAATTTTGATTAATATTTTTTGGATCAAGAATAAATATTTGTGGAGTATCAATCTTGTTTTTTAAAATTAATTGTTTATCTGATTTATCTAAAGTATATATATTAAATACTAAAGATTTTTCAGTATTATTTGCAATTACCAATGGTTCATTTAATTGTTTTAATTCATTAATTGTTGGTAATTTTGCATTACAATTAGGACATAATTGTTTTTTGTTATTAATATTAGAAGTTTGGCATTCTAAACATTTTTTAATAGATCCACATTGCTTATTATTGTTTAGTAATTTATCTACTAAACTATTTGTTTGATTTTTTTTCTATAAGTTCATCTATAATAATTTGTAAATATTTATAAAGTTCTTGATCAATTTCATTTTTCATTTCTGAATTTAAATAAAATAAACTTTCATATTGTTCAGAATTAAGTTCAGAATATAACCAAGGATCTTGATTAAATTGTATATTATTATTTTGATCATATTGAAATGCAGCAAAACTTGTAACTGTATGAAATGTAACTGTATTATATCCATGATCTAAATAATTTTTTTGTCCTTTTTGCTCATTATCAAAAGCCAAGAATACAAGACCTTCAGAAATGATACTTGTTTATTAGCTAAATTTTCTAACCATTTAATAAATTTTGTATAACTTCCAGAACTAATAATATGATTATCAATATCAATAATAAATTTAGAACTGGTAAATGAATATTTAATTGCTGAAGCTGCTAAATTAATTGCTGAAACATATTTTAAATTTCTTGTTCCATAAATAGAATCAACTGCAACTGCATATTTAAATAACTTTTCATCTGTAAGTTGATTTTCATTTTCATTATAAGTAATAGTTTTTATAAATTCAACAATAACTGGATTATGTTTAGAAAGCCAATCTAAAGGTGTATATAATAATAATTTTTCTAAACTGAATTTTTCTTGATTATCTATTAAAGTTATTAAATCATCATAAAAATTTTTTCTTTCTTTTTGAGCTATTTCTTTAATAGATTTAA